ATCAGATACTTTAAGACTTTTACTCAAGTAATATTTTTAGAGAAGACTTTAACTTTTACCAAAGCGTTTTTATGATAAGATACTTGTACTTTTACTCAAGTATCACTTTGAGGTACTTTATACAACACTGTTAAAGGGGATACAGAAATATCTCGCAGATAAAAGAGTAAAGAAACAAATAAAAACCTAAACAACAAATGAAACTAGTTCTACATTTTTACATGATTATAGACTTATGATCCATAAAAACTGCACACAAACGTTTTCTCTTCTGACTCTAACTTAAACCCACTTGCCAACAAGAGACCGGTGTCTGGTGTTGCTTTTTCCGAGCAGTCCTTGAAGGCACCAGGAGTGAGTGTGATGCTGTGGCTCCATCCACAGGGGAGGTGAGGTAAAACATGCCTGGTCCTGCTCAGAGGAACCCAGGCAGGACAAACAGGAGGAGTTTCTGCTCCACAAACAAGCACATTTCAGTTTATTAAATAAAACAAACATCAGTTTTGGATCTCAGCTTGCTGCTCTGTCTCACATTAACGCAACAAAACATTTGTAGTTTGTTCAGCAGCTCTGTTAGCTTCGCTGGGCCTTGTTCACTGAAATAAAKAGACGACCATTCTCAGTGCCTTTATTCTTTCAATCACACATTTCTGTTTCTTATTTGCACAACAGCGTTTATAAAAGTTGCCAAAGCATGAGTCAGTTTCATTTGATTAAAATGTGTAGTAGAAGTGCAAAGTGAGCTGAAAGGAAGAATGTGTTGAGGGTTTATAAAGAGACACGTCAGAGCCGAGCTGCCAGACAAAATCCTGTCAGCGAGGTCACTCACCTCTTTTTAATCCCTGCTTTAAACGGCTGCTTTAAGAGCCTATCCTTGGCTTCTAACAGTTATTTATGGTATTTAATTGTTTAATTCTAACAATTTATCATTTAGATGTTTTTATTTTTATGTATTTGTATCTGTTGATGTGTGAAAGAGTGGTTAGAAAGACTGTTTTTATATTTAACCCTCCTGTCGTCTTTGGGGTCAGTTTGACCCCATTCAGTGTTTATCATTCAAAACATAGTTAAATTATTTTCTTTTGCTTCATATTTCATGACTTTTCCTAATTTGATGGAGACAACTGTTACAATATGATGATTTTTTTTCAATGAGCTGAACACAAACTGCACAAGTTGGTCGTCCTCAGGGGTCAATTTGATGTGGTGCTGTTTGTAAAGTTACACAGTCAAAAATTACCTCCGATATTTTTGTTTTATTTAACCTTTTATAAGAAAAAAAG